AACACAGTAGATATCATGAATTCATTTTATAAATGAAACGTAAAAATACACTTGTTAGGTTTGCTGTCTTAAGACCCAATGTCTGGCAGGTTTGGGGATCAAGATTAGGCCCAGTAAACAGAAACTGCTGTTTGTGCAGTGTGGACATGAAAAATAATGTATACTGTTTTTGTTTGTGTCTGATGGGGTGGGGTACTTCCCTTTCTCATTAGTAAGGGAAGTGATGGGATTAGAAAAGCACAGTAACTTTTGACTGCTCACCATTGGCGGCTTAGGCAGCTTAGCTTTGTTCAGAGCAGAGTTCTTGTATAAAATGGCAGCGACTGGAATTTTTATGTACCCTTTAGAGTAATTGTAAAAGAGAAATTAGTCCTTCATAGAATAGTTCACACTTGGTTCTGATGTGAAGTGTCGCCGCCGTTCATTCGAGAATCTTTATTAACTAAGTAATTAACTGGTTAGCCTAATGAAGTTTTGTGTGCTGCACTTGAGGCATAATGGTTAAATTATGTACCTCAGCTTCTTAAATTACTGTAATTTTTATATGTATATATTTTAGACATGCCAGTCTTAACATGTTTATGGCTTAGTCTATTACCAGTTTTCTCTTAATAATAAGAAAAGTTTGAATATCTTTTGACAGATTATAAGCGCCCTGTTGACTTTTACTGGCAGCGAGGTGAAGAGCGCATTCCTGCTGGTCATCGGAAAGGTCGCATTGATGCTTTACGATACCAAATAAATGACAAGCCACACAACCAAATCCGAATATCTAAGCAACTCCCGGAGGTAAGGTTTTGTATCTGTTGGTGTCAGGTTACCAGATGAGTATGATGAGGTGTTGGGTAGATCTCTTGCCTTCCGTGATTGTTCCATGATGGTGACCCACCTGGAAATCTTTCTCAGCTTTCTGATTGTGCATGGTATGGTCTATGAAGGTCACATAATTTTAAATATGTAAGACATCGATGTGGTAAAATCAACTTACGATTTTGCATTATAGTGGGATTTTAAATTTTTTCCTATGTGCGACCACTTTGGGCCCATCAGTAGATACTAGTTTAGGTGAGCACTTCTCTTTTGAAAATGTCATCTGAAACACTCCAGAACGCAGAACATTTCAGAGTTTAAATTAGGAATGTTCATCCTGCAGACTCTCTGTGAATACAGTAAAGTCTGAAACACTTCTAGACCCTAGCATTTGATTCAGACACTCAACTTGTATAATTAGACCATTTTGTGAGTAATAATCCATTGGAAAAATGTAGTCTAAGGTAATTGTAACGTAGTGGGTAGTTTCTGAGTTCACTTTGTGTTTTCTTATTCTTTAAGTTTGTGCTGCTGGACTATTCCATTCCTGCAGAAATCCCGGTTATGAGATGCAAGCCAGACAAGCTTCCATTATTCAAACGGCAATATGAAAACACCATATTTACAGGTAAGTTTCTCCGTACATATTGATCCATAAATATATTAAAAAATCTGTAAAGTAAGAACATGTTTTAACTTTAGTAGAAATTTAATTTCGAATTGTTACATTTTATTGCTTTTTGATGGAGATAGGATTTCTCTAGCTCAGTTGGCCCTGGCTGGTCTTGAACTTGTGGCAGGAGCCCTCTAGCCTCTGCCTTCATAGTGTAGGAGATATACTACCACACCCAGCACAGATTTAATTCTGAGGACTAAGATGTTTGATTGGCTATGAGCAGTATCGTTCCTAACCTCAAGGTTATGAATGACAGTTATGAATGAATAACGTGAATGACAGTCGGAGCTCTTCATTTGAACTACAGCTCTTTATTTGAACGTTTTGTTGCCTCTGCTGAATTAGCAACATTTAACCTTTAAAAATTGTTATACTTTCTAGGCTTTTTGTTTTATTATGTGGAAAAGTATTTTGTGTTTTATGACTCGGGATTGTGTATAGCATTTTATTGAAGAATCCTCCTTGTTTTACACGTGGTAGTTACATACATCAGGAGTTCAAGCGCTAGTAGGCCTCGTGTCTCCCTAACACATCTTGAATTCTCTCTTCCATACACTTACTAGTTCCTAGATGACCCAAGGAAGGCCTTAAAAAAGCATTATGTTAGTCCTCTCGGCCAATTTATTGGTCCTTTCTCAATCACTTGGTCTTAGTAGTGACTGGGAATTTTTTGAAACCACTTTAAGAATGAAATTGAGCACATCAGTAGTTCAGAAGAGCTGAACCACCAGCTATCTGCCCTGGCTGTCCTCCCCCTTTCCTTTTCTTTTCTCCTTTTTTATCCTCTGGTTTTGTTTCTCTCTCTTTTGCTTTTTTTCTTTTCTTTGTCCCTGGCTAGCATAACACTCACTATGGAGTGACAGATGGCTTTGAAACTGCACATCACCCTGTCCTGGGATACATATTGCTGAGGCTGGAGCAGGGTGTGTGCCACCATCAGCACTGTGTATGTTGAGGATCAAAGCCGAGCTCCCTGCATGATAGGCAAGCACTCTGCCCAATAAGCTACGTACTTTTCTTTTTTTTTTTTATTTATTTATTAAAGTTTTCTGTCTCTTCCCCACCGCCGCCTCCCATTCCCCCCCCCCAATCTAGTCCCCCTCCCTCTTCAGCCCAAAGAGCCATCAGGGTTCCCTGCCCTGTGGGAAGTCCAAGGACCACCCACCTCCATCCAGATCTAGTAAGGTGAGCATCCAAACTGCCTAGGCTCCCACAAAGCCAATACGTGCAGTAGGATCAAAAACCCATTGCCATTGTTCTTGAGTTCTCAGTAGTCCTCATTGTCCGCTATGTTCAGCAAGACCGTACTTTGCTTACTTAGAAATGTAGTATGAAAACCTTATAAGTGAACAAATATTATTACATTAATTGTAAAGAAGTCCTTTTGTTGTTGTTGTTTATTGTGAGTTTGTGTGTATAGTAGGATTGTGGGTGAGGACCCCAGAGCACATATGGAGGTCAGAGAGTGACTTTGTGGAGTGCGTTCTTCTATAGCGTGAGCTCCAGGAATTCACCTCAAGTCATTAGGTTTGCCCACCAAGTACTTCATCTGTAAACCTTCATTAAGCCTCCATGCTGAGGGATAGGGCAATAGTAGTTCCTAACAAGGGTTGGCAAAATTAAATAATGGAGAACTAAAGTACCTTTTTTATGTATTCTTCTGGCCTATTTTGTGCCCTGGTAAGCTCTCTGATAATGAGCCAGTTGAGGATTGTTTTCAGGTAACTTTACCATCGTCGGTAATGAGGAAGTATTTAAGGCATATTCCCCTTGTGTAGTCTGAGTACTGGACACAGGGTGTTCCAAGAAGAAGGGGTGCTAGAAACAAATGCCACCAGCGTCTGCATGCTTGCGTTTCATCTCAAGTGTTTCTATTGTTTCCTTTAGGTTCAAAAACAGCAGATCCACGCTGTTACGGTCACACCCAGTTTCATCTGTTACCTGACAGTTTAAATAGAGAAAAGCTGATAAAACAGAACCAAGCTGAGCAGGTGGAAGTTGTTTTTAGAGCTAATGCCCTTGCGAGTCTTTTCGCATGGACCGGCGCTCAAGCTGTGTACCAAGGTAGGACCAATGCCATGGCAGTTTGCATTCTTGAAAGTATAACCTGCTGAGAATGGAGTTATAGATTGTTTTTGTAGGTAAGACACAACCGGGAGTTGAACGTTTTGAAAAGTTTACATTGATATAAAATGTAGTTATGGGCTGGAGAGATGGCTCAGTGGTGAAGAGCGTTGCCTGCTCTCCCAAAGGTCCTGAGTTCAATTCCTGGCAACCACATGGTGGCTCACAACCATCTGTAATGAGGTCTGGTGCCCTCTTCTGGCCTGCAGGCAAACACACAGACAGAATATTGTATACATAATAAATAAATATTTTTTAAAAAATAAATAAATAAAATGTAGTTATTTAAAAATCCATAATGAAATACATTTTACATTTAAAATGTACAGGTACACATGAGTATTCTTGTTGAACTTTTCCTGTGATTTATTCCTGTGCAGACAGAAACGTTTTCTAGTATTTTTCACAAACATTGCAAAAACTACTGGTGAGTCAACAGGTCCTTGTAGGCATTCTCACTTTAAAAAGTTCTCTAGTTAGGAAAGAAAATGGTAGGGGAGTCAAGATTCCAATGAGGAAGCTCTCCCTCGGGAGGTGCAATTGTGTTCAATGAGGCTGCGGGCCACAGTATGCATGTGGAGGTCACAGGACAACTTTCTGTGGACTGAATATTCTTCACCTTTATGTGGGTCCCAGGAATTGAACCTGGATCTCCAGCACGTTTCCCACTGAGTCACCTCTCCAGGCCTTGCATGCTTTGTATGGCAGCACTGTTAGCTTTGGAGGCAGTGTTGAATAACAGACAGACCTAACTCTCCTGGGGCTTTTAATGCAGTGGAGAGCTTCTGGAAACATACTCTTTCTAGAGTAGTGATGTTAGGAGAAAAGTAGGCCAGCATAAGTATGATGCTTGCGTAGCTGTCCTAAGGGAGGTAAGAGGCACAGTCGATGTGAGCACAGTCATTATGGGAAGATGTCCAGAGATGACTTTCACACAGACCTGGATGGTGATGAGCTAGTCATGCAGAATCTTTGAGATAAGAGGAATAACCACAAAAGGCTCTGCAGTGAGGACAGACTTGAAGCACTTGAGGAACAATGGAGAGGCTGGTGATTGGAGGCCGGTGAAGAAAGGGAATGGAGAACGCTGTGCACTGGCATGGCAGAAGGTAGAAGCTATACCATGTAGGACTTTTTCTTCCTGGGCTGGAGTTTGAACCAAGAACTGGTATCTACTAAGAAGATTATCTAGCATGAGCTATAATCCTCATCCTGTTCTTCCAAGTCCAGTGTGAGGTGTTTGGGTTCTACTGCAAAGCCTGAAGGTATGAAATATGAACTAGACAAATTCTACACAATAACCCAGGAGTAATATTAATATAGATTGTTCTTACTAGAGTCTCCTTGTTCATTTGTAGAAATGGACTTCAATTTTATGCTTCCATTATTAGCTTCCATTTCTTTAATAGGAAGGGAAGATGGTAGGAGGTGGGCTTAGAATAGTCAGGAAGGGTGAGTGATGCCTTCCAATGGCACTGCATGCTCATCAATGAAAAACTGTTACCTACTGCATTTGAGCAATAACTTTGTTAGATCTCTCCATTAAGGATTAAATAATATATAAATGTGGAGAAGTCAGATTGATTTTTGACTTTGGCAGCATTTAAAAATATTACCCCAGTCAGTCTAGACAGACAGAAAACTTGAGTGGGTAAGGTATTTAGGTGTCCTGGGGCCTTATGACCTGAGACACCAGAGGCAATGACAACAGTTCTTAAACCCTCTTTAAAAATAGTCAGAAGGCACTGGATTATCCAGGGGCATGGTGTTAGAACCATAGAAAGCTAGATTCTTCCTGAAGATTGTGAGAGCTTGTGTATGCATTTGTCTTTGGTGAAATAAATGGTCATAATGGATACTGGATTTTACATGGTGCCAGTGTGGAAAGTTTTCCAAGTATACTGAAGGCCATCAAGTTAGTATCAGATGCAGGAGGATTCCTTAGGTAAAGCATGTTAGGTAGCCAAGTGAATGCTGGGAGCTGTGGAAGGTGGAAGTTGTAGAAAAAAGTGCATCCTAAGTCTGGGGATGCTGGAAGGGAGGAGCTGTTAATACAGAAATAGAATGTGGAGTTAGTGGCAAAAGCAGGAAAACTTGAAGATCTCAGGGATTTGGTAGGTCAGGATTTTCAGGGGTCTTTACTACCCTCCAGTGTGTTTTGTTTTGATAAGACATATCAACATGTGTCAATCCCCCATTGCTTTCTTCTGCAGGATTCTGGAGCGAAGCAGATGTTACTCGACCTTTTGTCTCCCAGGCCGTGATCACAGACGGAAAATATTTTTCTTTTTTCTGCTACCAGTTAAATACTTTGGCACTGACTGTACAGGCTGATCAAAATAACCCTCGTAAAAACATCTGCTGGGGGACACAGAGTAAGCCTCTGTATGAGACCGTGGAAGATAACGATGTGAAAGGCTTTGATGATGATGTTCTCCTGCAGATAGTTGACTTTCTTCTAAATAAACCGACAGAAGACAGAACACAGCTGTCGGGAAGCCAGGAGAAAGGACTTGATCCGGGACATTGAGGATGTGTAAATTTCACCAGAGGAATAATAAAATCATTTATGGATTCTGTAACTGTCAGTTATTAAGCACATTGATTTTTTTTTGAGAAACAACATTCCTTATGTAACTTATCACTCAACCTTGAATTCAGATTCTTTACTGAGAGTTCAGTTTAGATGTAGTGATGATTATTTTAAATGATTCTTTCAGCTGATATGAAGAAGAGCCCTCTAGCAAGTTGTATTCTGACCTGCACACATGTCCAGCCCTTCCTCCCTCTGTCCTTCCCTTCTTCCTCTCCTGTGTCTGTCTCTCTCTAAATAAATGTTTAAAAGGGAAATGTATTTACATATTACTAATAACAGTATTAGACTGTCTATAGTGGTTTGGTATTTTGTGTCATTTAAATGGTAATTCAGTGGGAGCTGGAGAGAGGATTCCTCCTGCCCTTCCAAAGAACCTGGGTTTCATTCCCAGCACTAAACACCTAAATGTGGCTACTGCCCTCCATGTCCTGATCCAGTGCCCCCTTCTGAGGCACCACACATACTCACACGTGGTACATAGATGCCTGCAAAATACTCATACGAATAAAATACAAATTAAATATGTTTTATTAGTTCTTTTAAAAAAATTGTTAATGATGAGAGTTTTACAGCAGTCTTCAAAATAGGGCTACTGTTTTGCACAAGCTAAACTGAGACTTTTAATGAATTTTTTTAACCTTTATTTTAAAAGAAATGAAAATCAGAAAATATGACTAGGATACTTTAATAGTAGACTCTAGTTGGTCAGTCACAGTTAATATTTACTGGGATGTGTAAGTGGTATCCTGCTGGGACAAAGCAAGGCCGCTAGCTCTCTTTGCTGATCCACTTCAAGAGTCTAGAATCAGATCTAGGTATTCAGTGTCTAGTGAATGGATGTGGGTTAATTACCATAGTTTCTTTAGCTCGAGGTCTTAGAGCACTTGTTTATATATCTTTAAGGTTTATGTATTTGTGCGTCTAGTTTTTCATAAATGTTTGTTTGTACCATACGTGTGCAGTGCCTGCAGAAGCCAGAGGGCATCAGATCTCTCTGCCTGATTAGTTGATTAGCTACAGTTTGGCCCTTCCTCTGGTAGAACAGCCAGGGCTCTTAAACACTGAGCCCTCTCTCTCCAGCTCATCTTTTATATCAGCAAATTTTAGGCCTTTATGTAGCTCTTCACATATTTTATGCCTGCGGTTTTGTATAATTGTGAGTATATTCCTTTTTTTTTTTTCCCCAATTCTTAAGAGTTCCAAAATGGCTAGTATTGGCTGCCTGTTTCTTTTGTGAAGGTAACTCACTAATTGAATAGTTTTTGCTTGTTTCTTTGGAGGCGTAGTACTGTAAGAGCAGTCCAACTTGGGTTTCTCTGACCTTGCTTTATCATTATAGGTAGAAGGAAGATTCCATGTGGGACAATCCAGGCAGTGATTTACTTTGTCACACAGTTTGTGTGACTTTGTTGATTACTTCATAAGGAAGCTTTTATTGTCCTGATGGAAACACATTCCTGGCTTTCCTCCTGTTTCATTGACCGTTCTCTCTCTCTCTTTCTCTCTCTCTCTCTCACACACACACACACACACCACCGGTTATTCTTCCTCCACTTTCTTCAAATATTGGCATACCTCTTTTTTTTTTTTTTTTCTGGTCTCCATATGTCTTTACCTAGTCCCCTAGATGGCATCAAATTGCAGGGATTTAGATATAATCACATACAAAATTAGAGTTTGTCTTCAATTTTCTCTTAACTCCATATAACAATGGAGCTAGTTTGAGTGAGTAAGCTTGCAGATAATTTTCTCAGGAAAAAAACATTTTGTAATTAGGAAAATACCTTCATTTAAATAAAAAGCCTTTTTGCCAGGTCTAACGACACAGACCTGTAATTCTACCACTTAGTAGGTAAAGGTCTAACCTTTGTTATTAGTATTAGTAGTTCAAGGTCTTCCTTGGTTATGTGAACACCCTGACTGAAACAACAGTGTTGGGAGAACTCCAATAAGGAGCCATTAACATGCCTAATTCACCCCTAAACAACTTCATTGTGTTTGGAAGAGCATATTATATTTCCTACACGTCACAACAGCACATATAATTGAGGTCAAAGGACAATTCGAAATCAATTCTCTTCTTGCACCATGTGGATTCCAAGCGTAGAACTCAGTTCACCAGGCTTGGCGGCAAGTGCCTTTCCCTGCTGAACTAACAGGCCAGCCCCAATGATTTATTGCTGTTTTTTTTTTATTATTACTTTTATTTTTGAGCTATTATAATTACTTCTTTCCACCTTTCCTTTCCTACCTATTTTTTTATAAAATGTATTTATGTGTAATTGTACATAATTGCCATGTTGTGAGAGCACCCACATCACACAAAGGTGTATTGAATCACTGGAACTGGAGGTGCAGGTGGCAGTAAACCTGACTTGGAGGCCTGGAATTCAACTCAAGTTCCAGGGGAGAGCAAGTGCTCTTAACTACTGAGCTCTCTCGCCATCCTTGATCATTGTTAAAAAATAATTACCTACAGGAACCTCTTTGAGTTAAAAATGCTAGTAATACTTTGAATAAATGATGCCAACCTTTTGTATATTAGGAAAATGTAAATGAAATTTTGTCCCAGTCCTTGGTGATAAATTCACCTAAAAGAAAAAAAAAATCCATTAAGTAAAAGACAAACGTTTCCTTTTGAGTAAATCAGTGATTATAGAGTTCTATGTCAGTATGTAGCCTGCTTTAAGTGAGCTAGCTGTACCTTTTAGTTATTTGAACTCCAGGTTTGAATTACTTAAGATTAATTTCCATTGGGTTTAGCTTCTGGGAAATATGTCTTTGGATGTTTAGTCATATAAAACTTGCCTTTTATTTGCAAACTAACAACATGAATTTTAGGCTCCTCTGAAATCTTTCAAGAAGTTTTTTAAACATACAAACAGAGAATGTAGACAAGATTTACAGCCTGAATGTACGTCACACCAGAATAATTTAGGTCAGCGACTGATCTTTGGTCATGCTCTTCATTGTTATTTAATATGTTTTAATTACTTGAAGAGTAAGGAATTATAAAACACCCAAATTCCCAGATTTTCTTGACAAAGTGAAAGAACTGACCAACTTCACATTTCTGTACTTACGTGTCAGTAGCACCAGAGAAGACCCAGGCATTGCCTGCTTGGGTCCTTGTGGTGGGCCGTACGTCAGTCTGGTTTTTCACAGTGTCCACCACTTTTCCTTCCTTTTTAACTCTCCTGACTTCATTGGATTTACCTTATTAAGTTTCTGTGAAATGCTTTGCTCCTAAGACGTTGAATTTATGACTGCCACAGCCTAATTTACTGAATGGAACTTGCGTTATTGTTGGCAAAACACAACTTTTGCTGTTGATTTTGGTGCTACAGAATCCATTTTCTAACAGTATGCATTACAATAATCGTAAATTCACAGAAAAGATGCATTTTGTGTTTTTGCTTGCTGGTTGCTAACTTGAGAGCTCCAGAGGTTCCATTGCTGTTGGTTGGAGACAGCCTTCAGCTTTTCCCTCTATGGGGCTCTTTTAAGACTGCATCATGTCATCTAACCGGAGAATCTGTACAGAGTCTCCAAACAAGACTACTGGTCAAAAAAACAAGTCACTATGTCCAATTTCAAACCAGTGAGAAGAGCGGGAAAATGGTCTGTACTCTGTCACATGTATTTTAAATAAATGTTGATTGGCCAGTAGCCAGGCAGGAATTATAGGTGGGTCAGGGCAAACAAGCATAAAGTAGAGGCAGGGCAAGGAGAATTCTGAAAAGAGGGAAGTTTCAGTCTACGGTCATCACCCAGACACAGAGGAAGCCAAACACAGAGCAAGCAAGATGTGACTGCCTTACTGAAAATGGTACCAAGCCATGTGGCTAACACAGACAAGTTTGATAGGCTAATATAAGAGTTAATAAGAAGCCTGAGCTAATAGACCAATCAGTTTATTAATTAATTCAGGCCTCTGTGTGTTTCCTTGGGACTTGATGACTGTGGGAAACCGGGCAATACAGAAACCTCAGTCAACAGTATGGCCAAGAGAGAGAGCCATTGATTGGTAAAGTTTTCTCTTCCCAAATGTTGTAACTACAACTAAAGAAAATGTATCTTGAGAATAAGGATAAAACTAGGATTAATGTTCTTTTCATACATGTTAATTAACACTCTGCTGTTATTTATGCCTAGAAACAACAAAAATGGATGGACAGAGGCTAATGACAATTTGTTTAGCGAAGGTAGGAGCCTATCACATCAGAGAGTGTCTGATGTGGAAAGAAATGAAGAATTTAGCTAGATTCAGGATTTTCGCTCATTCTGGAGACCCTTGCAAGTCCAATCTGTGCTGCTCTGTTTGTTTTGCCTCTCAATCAGTATTTTCAATATTAATTAATAATGTTTCTGTGGATATTCAATGACAATGTTTCTATAAATGACTAGGTATAGCACACAGGGTCACATGGATTACTTTCTTTTGTAAAGGACTTTCATGGCATATACATTTATTCCTGGAAGTAAAGTTTTTTTTTTTTTTACCACTAATAGGCAAACTTAATTTACAAACAGGGTATAAGCTTTTATCAGGAGATCTACATATATTTCTAAGTCAGAGGGTTAAGCTGTTGCTAAGTCCAATAAGGCTTC